GCCCCAGAGACTCACCCGAAACTGGAGTTCAGAGCAGTGGGGAGCTTGTGTCTCCCTTCTGATTGAAAAAGACAACCCCGTCCTCATTTTCCAGCCCTTTCCGCGCACCTCCATACCTCTCTCTGCACTTTACTTCTGCACCTCCTCTGAGTCTCAGTGTGCTTTTCTCTTTCCTTCTAGTTGTAGAATTTCCACTCAGCCAGCCTTCCCGTGGTTCTGGATGATGTCCCTTTTGTCTTTTAGTTATATTTTTGAAGTGGTTATATGAGGCAGCAATTTCAGGTGTTAACCTATGTCACCATCTTGGTTTCTCCCAGATTTTAATACTTTAATTATGTCAGCTGATTTTTCTGAATGTCTTGCTCTTTTGTTTGGAAATATATATGATTTAAGTCACATTATGCATTCAGATATTATTAGGGAAGGCAGGTAACTCAGATTATTTTATTTTCAAATCATTTAAAAATTAAATATTATATGTAACTATGATTTATGCATTTATAAACTTCTGTATTTACACTCAACTCTTTACTCTCTCAGGTGCTATCTCCTCTGAAGAAATAATTAAGTATGCACATAGGATTAGTGCAAGTAATGCTGTGTGTGCCCCACTGACCTGGGTTCCAGGTAAAAATATTTCTCTTTTTACTAGATATATGTGAAAATTCTTACATGACTGTACACAAAAATAGAGAAAAAGATTTAGATACAGAATGTATTTAAATACAGAATTATGTAACATTTGCTACGTATTTTCACATTTTTAAGGTTTTATAAGTAAGAATTTAGGGCATTGGTTTTATTGGTTTGGTTTTCTACAAAGCTGTTGGCACTAGGACCTGTGTTTGTTTTATTTTTATTTTTTAATAATAAATAATTTTAAAAGCACAAGTTAATATGTGATGATTCTAAAGCTATAGATTTATATGCCTGTAAAACCCATGCTGGCCAGAAGCCAACTTTTTAGAGCCATTAGGATTTCCACAAATATTCCAGCCTGGGAAACAGACAATTCCAGCTATTAGGTGATAAAGATAGAGCACTGAGCGGCACAATTGCAAACACACAGGACTGAGAAGAGCTGGAGTAAGAAAGACAGCAAAGGGAGTAACAAGCTGCAACTGTATTAATAGACAATGGGTAAAACATAAGATGGAGACATTAAGGTAGAGCAACAGCCTTGGGAGGAGTGGGAGATAGTTATCTCAATTTCAGTAATTCCTGATGGTATTTTGGTGTTTTGCCATACTAAGAAAACTAAGAGTAACTACATTGTTTGGGGTCAGTAACTGGAGTTTGTGAGAAATATTATCAAAAATTTGTTCCAAATCTGGCCCAGTTTTGATCAACCCCAAACTATTTAGTATGCTTTTATGATTGGAAATAAAGATTACTCACCCCTGATACTCCACTGGAAAGTCAAAGAATTAGTCTTTAAATGACAAGATGAATGAGATTGGTTAGAAAAAAGTTTTAATTTAGATAGTTCTTCCAGTAAGCATTCAGTCCTTTCCATCAGAAAAAAAAAAGTGTCATGATCTGTTCTCCCTCAGAGTATGTATCATTATGTTCATACTAAATAATGCAGTTAAGTTAGAAGAATCAAGATCATTTTAACTTTTTAAATTTGTCATTTTGAATTTTTGCTAAATTGACAAACTTTTTCATTTTTTTATATATTACTAGGGGCCCGGTGCATGAAATTCGTGCACTGGGTGTGTGTGTGTGTGTGGGGGGGGAGTGTCCCTCAGCCCAGCCTGCCCCCTCTCACATACTGGGAGCCCTC